TTAGTGCCCAAGTAATCTGATCTTGGGCAACTCACTTGACCTGTTGGAGTTTCCTTTTCTATAAAATGAAGATAAAATACCTCCTACTCTGGATTATTGAGATGATAGACAAATGTATAGCACCGACTACAGTGCATGGCCCTTGCAGATACCTAGGAAATGGTAAATAGTTTTACTGTCCTTCCATTGAGAAAGCAAGCATATTGGTGCATATTAATCCCTCCACATTGTTATGATTGTCTGACCTTCTAGGCTATCGAAAACTTTGCCTTGATGTTGAAGACCACTGCCCAGATGCTTCAGACGTTTGGGTCCCACCTGTCCACGACAGAGCTGCCCAGAGGCATGCTGTCCACTGAAGAGCTTTTCATGTTGCACACGAGGCAGTGGGACAAGCTGCAGGTGAGTGGTCAGTGGCCTCTCACAATCCAGTCTCTGTGCCAGCGGATGGTCAGCCTCCTGGAGAGAGCCTGGAGCAGAATTAAGTTATCTTCTCCCCTCTTTCTCCAGTGACTTGGCAGCCACTGATCATCTTCAACCTTCCAGATAGGAAGTATATGATGGGAAAAATCTCTTGAGACTGGGTGGTACATGTAAAAGGATTGCAATAATGACCTGTGAGAAGCATCTCAGCAAAGGGAAAATCATTCCAGCTTTGTGCTGGCAAGATGAGGTGTATGAACATCCCTTCAAGGGCAGCACTCCAATGTACTGCCCAGGACAGAGCAAGAGATAATGGGCCGAAATTGCAGTGAGGGTAGGGAGTTGGCTTTTGAAGCAGTAGCTTTTCTGCAACTGTTGTGAACCTTGGGGTCGGACTAATAAGCTGACATATTACTTCACTTTCCCAGGGATGTGTCTTTATCTGGGGACTAATTTGAGAAAGGACTGTGGAAGGTGCTCCTTAAAACTGGTTTTAAGGAGAGGCACCTATTAAATGATTCACAAAATCATGTCAACACTGCTTCTGTGAGTTGCTGAAAGGGGAGGTGTCAGGTTCTTTCAGGTCATGTGGTAAAAGGAAGTTTTCCCGGGGCTGATTGGATGAGTGTCAGCCCCTTTCTTTTGCCTCCAGAAACAAACAGACCAAATCCATTATTTCACAGAAGACCAGAACTCAAGGAGGCAGCAAACTGAGGATTAAGAAGGTTGATACATTTTAGCATTATGTGTATTCTTGCTGCATGCAGCTTGATAAGAGCTGAACTCTACCCAAAATTTGCAAAAATACTTGCTGGTGGTTGATTTGTTGTTCATTTATTCAACACTTATTGATTACTCATCACTACATGCCTGGAAAACAGACAAACAATGACAATTCAAAGAACATATGGTTTATTTAGGAGAGTCTGAGAGTCTAGTAGTTGAAGAAAATTAATTCTTCCATGTGTCAGGGAGCATTATTTAATTCTCTCTTTAAGGAGCTTGATATCTAAAAAGAGTTCAAAATATATTCCCAAGATGACTCTGAGTAATCAAAAAATCTGAATTGAAACTGTGAAAGCCTGAAAGGATACTGGAAGTTTTCCCTGAAAGTGTCTCTCAGAAGTTTGACCATTTTCTTTGCCAAACATATTGCCTAAGTTCACCTCCCATGATTCTTGGAAGAGATGGATTGCAGAAGGCCGGGTCTAGGGTGCCTCTGTGAAGTCTACTGGAAAAGGGTTGGCGGTCCTGGCCTACAGGTCACCAACCACAGGAACCCGAAGAGGGGTCAGTTAATAGACAGGTGCGATGTTTTGAATGCAAGTGCGGCAAGAGGACCCTGTGCGTGGAGCTCCCGGCCTAGGCTCTCTGCCCTGTTCCAAGAGGGTTTTGAAGCGGTTGCAGGACGGAAGCACTGAGATGACATGTGGTCACTTAGGGAGGTCTCTGGGGAAAAGGTAAAACATTTTGTCTGAGGGGTGAAACCAGCTAGTGAGATCCTACGGTGGGTACACTGAGGGTTCCCAGAAAGGCAGATAAGTGGGTGTCTAATATTTCTACACAGGCAAAGGGTTCCACAGAGGTAAGGGGAGAGAAAGAACCACTCTCCAAGATGGAATAAGGTCATTTTCTTGGGCATGATGACAAGCTATTGTTGGTATTAAAATATACAACTCTGTGCAGAGAAGGCTAGAATTTCACTCAGATTATGTATGGAGTAACTTTGCAGATCCACAAAATTTGCAGTATTGTCTGACATTTATAAGAAATAAATTTATACTCTAATTATTTTATCTCAATTTGGTAAAACACCTATATCTAACCAGCAAGACAAGCGAAAAGAGTTTAGGAGATTCCATTAATTAGCCTTTTAGTAAGAAATAAATGCAAACTCTTTCATAAACTAAACTATTATACTTGCATTTATATTCCAAATAGACCTATAACTATTTTAAGATAAAATTCTCAAAGAGTTTAATTTGTCCAAGTGTTTACCTTAAGTATATTAATCGAATTTGGATTAAAATATAATTATTCTGTCTTTATTTTGCCAAATATATTATTATTCTTTATAAGACAACATAGAGAGTGTATAAAGCCTTTTGTGATAACTAATTATTGGCCTAACACGAATTTGATTTCCTTGTTCCTTATCTTATAAATTAGAAGCAAAAATACCCAAATTGTTAAACTAGGGATATATTTTTCCTTTTTTCCATCCAAAAATGCTTTAAAGAGTTTATATTTTAAAAAGGAATACATTTTAACTTTTACGAAAAACTTAGTAGCTTTTGTTATTATTTATATATATTTTATTTTATTCTTATTCGAATATATTACCTTTTAACTAAAAGTTCTACAACTAATTAAATAATTTTTAAAAATAATTAGGAAAACACCTAATAGATGCTTTCTGCTAATAGGTATGGGGTTTCTTTTGGGGTGATGAAAACGTTTTGGGAAAAACATGGAATTGTACACTTTAAAGCGGTGAATTATAAGTTATATGAATTATATCTCAATTAAAAAAAAAAAGAAAAGATCCTCGGGCCCTAAGACAACAATAAAATAACTACAACTCTATGCAGATATGTACGATTCTTACTCTGTTTTTGATGGTTCTGCAGACTTTTTTTCTTAGCAAAACAACTCTTCCTTTTGTCTTATTCCGTGCTTGTTTTGGAAGCAGTTCACAGAGGCAGGCGGTCTCCTTCCTGAGCCCTAAGGGGGGTGATTCTCACCTCTTTGCTTGTCTTATTTAGTCTAGAAACACAGGGCATTGGCCTTCTGCTCTTAGATGCTTTAGTCAATTAAGATATTGTACCATGTGTTCATTTAAAGTGGGCAAGACTCTCATTTTTGTTGTTGTTAAAATAAGTTTAACAGAGCCACAGGCTTTTTCTCATCATGCAAGTGGAGAGAAGAGAGTGCCAGAGGTCCTTAAATCATGTGACAGAGCAATCTTTACAAATACGAATACTACTTAGTATTTAGTGTTTGTTCCATTCAGTATCCACTCAATTTTGTATTCAGAAATTACAATTTCATCTCTATTACCAGGGTAACGCACCATCAAGAAGATAATCAGAATTACAAGTTATTTTCATGGGCCCTAGAAATAATTTTATAGTCTTAGGAATTTTTTAAGACCCCTTTGTTCAAACTTTACTTTGCAGAGAACGTTGTTAGAAATGAATAGGCACAGAGGCCTCCGTTTTGCGCTCAAAGACAGAATTGGCATCCTTATGAATATTTTCGGTGTTAATACCTTAACAAATCAGTGTTTTGAACTAGTTTTGTATGACAGGAGGATCTCTTTCAGTAGCTGCTGAGGAAAGGAGACATCTCATGTCTTTCAGAGGCCTCTTTTTTTTCTAAATTATGCATTTTAAAGGACAGATTTCTGGAATTCATTAGTTTGCATTATAAACAAAATAGAACAATAGAGCTAACTTTCAATGGTAGAAATGGATAAGTAGTAAAAGTGGAATATAGAGCATCAATCATTAATCATTCATATATCCTCTTACTTCCTATGCTACTTACACTCCCAGCGTATGACACAGCAGAGCACAGTGCTTGCCATGTAGTACTAGGTCTTCATAAACATATTTTGATGGACGTCTACATTCATGCTTACCTTTGTCATAGGAAAGAATTCCTGCCGAAAATTTTGATTCTTTAGAGCCTGAAGTTGTCCTTCTTGCCCTGTTAAGTGGGTCGTCTTTTGGACCAATTGCTTGTTTCCATAATGATAGAACCATAATGATGAGCACACACTGAAACAGCTATATCCATTGTTTAAAAAGTTAAATAGTTACATCTCTTGAATGTCCCACTCTACCTCCTTGACCCATTTCCTAGGAACTACATGATCTCTTTATGATTCTGGCAACTAAAGGATTAGTTGCTGGTCTCAGGATTGTTTCAGCATTGTATCTGACATCTGTGCTGATTGGTCAGTGCCTGCTCTGTACAGGTACTAAATATTTTGAATTGTTACTACTGTGGACAAGGGCAAACTCCATTTGGGGGCTGGGCAACTTACTTTTATGATTTTCAAGTACCATAGTTCCTCAAACTTTCCCTCTATGTTCATGGCAGATTTTGAAGCTGACCATGTGGTCTAGTCCCAAAGCAGTAACCAGGTCACGATTTTTCCTTGTATTTTTTCACCAGGTGAAGGGGATACTTAGTGATGACATCACTTACTAAAATTCACCTTCCCTCTCTCACACACTTTTTCTCATACTCTGCAGCCTTTTGGATGTATCTCTCTTTCAACCTTCCCTAGCAATATGCTTCTCCTTTGGCCCCTCCACCTTTCCTCTTAACTCTGCATCACACACACACACACACACACACACACACACACAATGTATATATTTTTTTCTAATAATGGCTAATGCCAGAATACTGCTGGAATGCTGGAAGCTCCGAGGCAGTTAAGAAACTGAGTGAAAAAAGCCAGAACTCCTATTAGTGAGTAAGAAGAGGAGGGTAAAGCTAAGAGCATTTACGAATGAGTGCTCTTAACTTATATGAGTGCTCATATCTTATTTGTCTTTATTCATATGTAACCTGATTTCTTTCAGACTATTATTAATTCATCCAACCTACAAATATTTAATGAACATTGATGAGATAAGAAGAAATGTGGCCGATAACCAGAATGGAAAAGAAAGGAAATGTCTCGTCTGCAGGCAGGAGTAGCAGCCAGATGGCCAACTTGGGGCATTACTTGGAGTGAACAGAGCCACAGGGGTTATCCACAGAAATTTTAAGGGCTAGATCAGAGAAGTCAAACCTATCATGAGGCTGGGTATGGACGTTGGAAGCCTTCAAGGGGGTGAATACTACAATGGAGTGGGCTACAAAGAGAAAAGACATGAGGTTGAGAGGGCCAGACTTCTGTGTGAGCAGAGGAGAGAGTATAAAGCTCTCCTCACAGGAAATGAGCTGGAGGCTGTGTGAACACTGGAGGTGGCGAGACAGGAGGAAGAGACTCAGTGTTCATGTGCACAGGGGTGATTGTTTTGTACCTATGGGACTATTCTAACTCCCAGGGCATACCAAACCAGCATCCCGTGTGACCCAGGAACCAAACCCAGAACTCCAGGTAGCAAAATTCTAGGCCAAGTTCTGCCCTTTTGTCTTGCTTCATGGTTACACTCAGGGCATTGAAATGAGTACACTGTGTGAGTTGACGACTAGAGCTGTTGGATTTGGAAGGAGCTAGCCTGACGTCTTCCCCAATTACAAGCTCTAAGTCTCTATGTAAAAAGAGTTGAGTAGAGTTGCCTTGGAAGAATGAATCTTTACATGTCAAACTGAAATTGTTGCCCATCTTTGCCAAATTTCAACAGTTGAACAAGGCTACACTTTGAAAGCAGGTGGAAGGAGAGGTAGGGCTTATTGATAAGACCAGATGAAGTTTTTTTCATGGCCAACTAGCAATTATTACATTATTATCACATGGTAGTTCCTAGCATTTAACATTCAATATCTGTCACTTTCTTATTTCTGGTCACTGTCTTGGATTAGAACCAGATTTATTAACTTTGCTTTTAATTTACAATGGCAGCTTGAGATACACACAAAATTTAACAGTTGTTGCTTTTGGAGAGGGAAAGTAGATGAACTGGGGACAAAAGACTTGCTTTTTCCAATATATGCCCTTTTGTATAGTTTGAATTTTGTATCATGTGTATGTGTTATCTATTAAAAAGAAGCTAATTTTATAAAGCTGCAGCTTGACATTTTTAGCATTTAATTTCCTAAATGAAAGATATACTGATCTGTCATTCTCCTTACCCCAAACCTACTGAGAATTTTCTTTCATTAATTCCTTATGAGAGACTATATTTCTTTTTTTTTTTCTCTAGGATGAGCTGAAATTACTTGGAGAGCAAGGGGCTATGTTGCTGTCGTGCATTCAAGAACCAGCAACCAAAAATCCTACCAGTAAACTCCATGCCAATGAAATTGAGAATGTAGCTACCATAGAAAGGTGAGTGAAGGTAGAAGATGGTTTTTTTAGGATAGAATAGAACTAGACGATCTGAAACAACCACGGGTAAATTAGAACAGTTACTCTTGGGGCTTAGGAGGGTCAAGAAAGAATAATATTTAAGACGACAAAGGAAAAAAGATGGTACCCACCTGGCACCCAGTTACAGAGATGTTTTTATGAGAATGCCATTCCCTTCTCTTATGAAATGCTGTCATCACAGGATTTCAAAAGGGATGGTATATTGGTTGAGTTTTATTTCTAAATGACAGTTTGGCCGGGTGCTGTGATTTGCGCACCTGTCAAAGAAAAGACACAAAGGTGCGGTTATCAGGGGCATATATTAAACACAGCAGCTGCAACTGAAGTGAAGCTTCTGCCTAGCACTGAGAGTGAACTGACTGAAAAATAAACATATGAGAACTAGCTGAACCATGAGAAAGTCAGAGATGACACAGGCTTTCATAGTAAGGACATTACCATAATTTATAACAGTGACTGAAACGTAGATGTTACCTAAATGAGCCTATCCAGATGCCTGCGGAAATGAATATTAACCACAATGTCATTTTGTCATTCTTTCTTGACAGATTGCTAGTTCAATTGGATGAAACAGAAAAAGCCTTCAGTCGGTTTTGGTCCAAGCATCACCTGAAGCTTAACCAGTGCCTACAACTACAGCATTTTGAGCACAAATTTTGTGAGGTGTTATTATTATTTTTTTAATAGAACTTCCTTTCATGGTTCAGTGACTTTCGATTCACTTTCCCATCTCAAACTGAGTATTGGGCTTCCTTCCTCCCCCTAATCCAGTATAGCAAAACTCTATCTCCAGATGAGTGCTCATTGGCTTATTTCTAGACTGTTCTAATGTGTCTTGTAGGTTAAGCTTGCCCTGGACAACTTGTTGGCAGAGCAAGCAGAGTTTACAGACCTTGGAGACAGTGTGATGCATGTGGAGCAACTTCTTAAGGAGCACGAAAAACTGGAAGGAAAAGGCCAGGTTTGTTCTTTGCCTTTTTTTGTGGTCTGGAAAGGTAGTTGCTGTGGACAGTGACAGGTCATGCCCATCTATTGTCAAAAGGTTGCCAAAGGACACAGAAATGCCCAAATCCTGCCCTTTCAGTCACCCCGCTCCCGCCCCGTTTCCCAAGGAGATGTACACATTCACAGCCATGATACACAACGCCCGCAGAGTTCTGTGAAGGCTTCCAGAGCACCGGGCTGAGGCTGGAGGTGCAGGTGGGGTGAGAGCTCTGGCCAGCCCTGCCCCCTCTCAGGGTGGAACGCTAGGTGCATCACTCACCCATTGGGCCGGATGTGGAGGCGTGGCATGGGTGTTGGTTGTAAGGAGGGGAAACTTTAGAAACTTTAGAAAGGGAAACCAGAAAAAAATAACTCCTTTTATAACAAGCATGACAGTGAAAAGGGGGAAATGGGTCCACATTAGTTCTGTTGCTACACAGAATTGGCAGTGCTTTCTCCTTTCTCATGCCCCAAGAGTTGTAAATATCAAACTTGTAAAAGAATACGCCTTTCACAATTCTCATACCAGAATTAAAGAGTTTTCCAGATCTGCACACAGGTCCTTCTAAATTTGGCTTACTTCAAGTTAAGAAAGCCCAGTCATCTCTTTCCAGAGAAGTTCCTTCTGCTTTTCTTTAATTAGGATTTCTATATTTTTGTCTCTTGGAGACCAGGTACTATATTAGCACTTCTTTTCTGAACTGATCTAGAAGTATGTTTCCCTGGAGGTAATGTTGTAGTACTAGAGATTTGCTTTTTAAAGTCTGATCCTCGCGCCGGTGGCATCAATGTCACCTGAGTCAGAACTTATTAGAAATATAGAATTTTCAGCCCCACCGCAGTGTCAGAATCCACATTTTAATAAGATCTTCAGGCGATACATGCACATTATAGTTAGAGACATACTTCCCTAAAGAATAGTAACAAATGTAAACAAATGCCACTCTGACTCTGAGAGCTGTCACTTGTGGATTCTGAGCTGGAGGTGCTTCTGTACATGGGTGAACACCCGGACCCACATGTGCTTGTACTTCCACTCAGGAAGCCCATCTCTCCCTAGTGATCATTGACAGCTAAATACTTTAGTGCTGAAGGCACGAGTCATCAGAAATGTTTATCAAACAATGAAGTAATTGAATTTCATATATCTGATGTGTCTTAGATTCTCCAAGACAGTCCCAATATTATGTAATTTTAGTTTTTTTTTCAAAAGAACTCCTTATTAAATGTAGATACTATATATTTTCTCTTATATACATATATACATATGAGGGGGAAAATGCCTCACCAAGCTCAATGCCTTTATTTTTGGTTTGAAAAATATGGTCACAGCATATGTATCCATATACCATGAAAGTAGCTACTGACCTACCAGGAAGGTGTTCATTCATCATTAGGTAGTCTTTGCCCTGTCCTGTGCATATGGTGGCAAACCAGACAGTCAAGACGGTGCTCTCTTGGAGCTTACATTCTACTGGGGAGAGGTAGATATCTAGTAAAAAGTAATCAAATAAATAATAATATCAGATAGTGACAAGTGGTATCAAGAAAATAACCGGATATAATAGAAAGCGACTGGGAGGTGCTGCCTCAGCTAGAGTAGTCAGGAAAGGCCTCTCTAAGAAGGTGATCTTTGACCTGAGATCTGGATAGCCATGCAAAGATCTGGAGACTAGTGCTCAAGGCAGAGAAGCTGCAAGTGCTAGGTCTTGAGGCAGAAATGAGGTGGCGGGTTCAAGGAATGTGGCTGGAGCACAGTGAGCCACGTAGGAAGAAGGTGGGAGCAGTGGCTGTGAGGACTGGATTTTATTCTCAGTGGAATGGGAAGCCATCGGACGGTGCTCTGGGTTGTGTTTTAAATAGTGGGGATCGATCTGCATGACTGCATCCACATTCTGCTTTCTGCTCACTTTCTTGGGCTTGTGATCCTTGGTACATACTTTAAAGATCTCTGACTGGAGCTAGGGGCTCAACCTATGGTCATGGGACATAGGAATATTCTGTGAACCCATGAGCCATCTTTTATGCGTAAAGTTCCTGTACCAGCTGGACTAATACACCACAGATGGCCCACAGAGCCTAGGCAGTTTGGTTTTTACCCATCCTGTATCTTGCTTACCCTGTTTTCTCTTATTTCCTAAAGGATACATTAGACCTATTCCTCAGCCTTTGGGTGAACAGAGCAAAGCTACCTTAACATAACTGGGACTGTTTTTGCATGTCTTCACTCAGATTTCTAAGAATCATTATTTCTTCAGATGATAAGGGCTTGCCCAGTCTCTCCATTTGTCTTGTAAAGTGTTAAAGAACAAGGTGATGTCTGGCAAGAATCCACCAAAACTTGCTTGGTTTGTCCTTTACTCCACACTCAGGTGTCACCTTCCCTCTTGGCATAGCCACACATTGATTTCTGGTTTGCTGTCAACTTCCTTTTTCTGTGCAGTGATATCATCCTCACGGGTACCCTCTGAGCCAACTCACTAAGCAGATTCTTGTGCATGCTAATTGAGCCTGTTCTTTTGTCTTGTTCTAGTTTGAGGGTTTAGCAAACTTTTGAGTGCTCATTTCTAATTCTGAGAAACAATGGTTTTAGCCCCTACTCTTCCTTCTAAAAGCAGAACTCACTGCAGGAATTTTGGTCTGAGGCATGTTGGGGCCTTCAGTGATGAGCCAGCAAGGAATAGACTATGACAGGGCAAGAAGAACCAACTCGATTTCAGCCTTGACCTCTCCCCTCGAGGCCAGGAGCCAGCAGTTACACTACTGTGCCCAAGAAGGCATGGGACTCAGATCATTAACCCCTCCAGGGCCGTAATCTAGCTACAGTGCATGGCTTTTTTTTTTCTTTTAGTGGAAAATTTCAAACACACACAAAAGTAGATTGACTAATGCAATGAACTGCCATGTATCTATTGCTCACCTTCAACAGGCGTTAACTTTCTCCCTTTCTTGTTTCACCTGGCTCTCTGTGCTATGTATTCGTTCTATCCTATGCCATTACCTGGGGGTCCGTTCTGGGCTTCCTGATGTAGTCACATCACAGTTTCTCACTATTTCCTTCCACAGTAGATGCTCTCATCTTTCATCTGTCGTAGCAGTAGAGTCCTTGGGGAAAGAAACAAACTGTGATTATAATAAAGATTTTTGAATTGCGTGTTGCAATTTTGACTATCCAGTCTTCTGGAATTTTCAGTATCTGAAAGGCTTGTGAACTGAGTGCCAGATCTCAGCCATTTCTTTCTCACTATTTCTTTTTCACTTAAGTTTTATTGCCTGTTTATCATGAGCAGAAGCTGTACAGAAAAATAAGCTGTGATTTGGATGTTTTACCATAAAGTTCTTTGTAAGTTCTCTGAAGGATCTGACAGTGATGGTTGTGCACCTGTCATTCATAGCACATGTGGGGAGGCCCTGTGGGCTGGAGGGTGATCAGACACGGGCTTTGGAGTCAGGAGGAACTGGATTCAAATCTCAGCTTCAACAACTACCAGCTGTGCAACCCTAGTCAGGTTTCTTAGCCTTTCTGAACATATCCCCTCATCTGTAAAATGGATTATAATAATAATTCCTACCTCACAAAATCTCTGTGAAGGTAAAATGAGTTAGAGGTGTAATAAGGACTTACAGAGTGTCTTGAATGTCACAGGTGGTCAGAACTCAGAAGCTATTATTATTATTATTATCCATTCATTTCAGTAGAGTGATCATCCAGTCATCCAGCAGTGGCTTCTAAGTTGTATTTATGGATCTTTTCCCAAGATCCACTTGGACCTGTTACTCACATCTTTTCTTCAATCTCAAATGTTTTAAGAACACTTTTGAAGGGTGAGGTGCCACATGCTAAGTGAAGGGCAAGCTGCGATTGCCATGGGGCATTTGGGAAATATCCTGTGGTGAAGTTTCCTGGACCCAGGAAACCTGTGTTATTCTTAATAAATTAGGCAGCTAGACATTAAAAAAAAAAAAAAAGTCAACAGATACTTCCTTGCCAAGTTTGCATACATCTATATTTGACTAAAATCAGCCAGGTTTGATCAGCCTAATAAGCTCCCAAGCTTAGGCAGAACAAATGCAGTGTGTGGTGGTCAGAGCCTGATTCTGGAGCCAAACTGCCTGCATCTGAAGTTTGGCTCTCCTCTTCCCTACGTGGGTCACCTTGGGCCATTACGCCTTCACTGCTCTTTTGTAAAACAGCATCTATATGAAACGGTTTGTTATGAAAAGTAAAAGAAACAATCAATATAAGCATTCAGAACAATGCTTGGCATATAGTAAGCTCTCAGTAAAAGTTAGCTATGATCATTAATGTCGCAGAGGTAACTGGCTCAATTCTGTGCTGTGGAATGTTTCCTAGGTTCAACCTAAAGTGACTGAGCAGTTCTAGTAAGTGTCTCATTCATTCTTCATTCATTCTGTAAATACGTATTGCTCTCCAACCATGCCAATCGCTGTTCTAGGTTCTGAGGACACAGCAGTAAGCAGCACATTTGAAAATCACCGCCTGAGAAATTAGCATTCTAACCTCCTTTCAGGGATGGTGACCAGTGTGTATCTGGGCCTTTGCCGTTCAGTACAAGTGCACTGGGTATTCACCTCTGAGTCCTTTTAAATAGCCACTGCTTGATTTGTGTCACTTTATTCCCACACCATCACTCCTTTTCGGTTTGCACAATCATCGTTTATTCTTAAGTACCTAATTTATGCTATGTACTGTTTTAAGTTGAATAAGATCTAATGTATGCCTACAAGGGTCTGTGACGTAGTGAAGGCAATAGATAAGTGATCACAATACAGTGAAGTGTGTGCTCTGATCAAGAAAGGCACAGAGGTTATGGGAGCACAGAGGAGGGACGTCGGAGTAAAATGGTGGAGTTCGAGAAAGTTTCCTGGAGATGAACCCTGAAAGGCGGTTTAGAGTTAGCTCCAGAGGAGTGTGTGTGTGTGTGTGTGTGTGTGTGTGTGTGTGTGTGTGTGTGTGTGTGTGCGCTCGCTTCGGCAGCACATATACTAAAATTGGAGCGATACGGAGGAGAGTGTGTGCATCGGGAGGTAGGGGGTGGAGTGGTGGGGGGCACAGGTGGGAAGGGAAGGATGAAAGAGCAAATAGAGAAGGCATGGAGGCCTGAAGCTGCCTGAGTATTTGGGGAACTACAAATGGGTCATTAGTTCAGATCCAGCAGAGGATGGGGGTGAGAGAAGTGGAGGAGGAGGAGGCACAGGCACGAGCCTGATAATGAAAGGCTTTCTGTGCATTGCTTAGGAGTTTGAACTTTCTCCCGAAGACTGTAGAGAGCCAAAAAAGGACTTGAAGCTTGGGAGTGATGTAGGCATGATAAGCACTGTAATGGAATTGCTGCTTCATCAGCAATGTGGGGCATGGTTTGAAGAACAGCCTGAAGGAGAGCGAAGAGGCCAGCTGTCCCAGTCAGAAAGCATGAAGGCTTGAACAGACACTGACAAGGAAGTGGTGGAAAAGGGCTCAGAATTCAAAAGGTCTTAAGAAGGAGGCAGGCCCTGCAGGGCTTAGCGAATGACTGGCAGGGTAGGGGGCAGGGTTTTTGAGACTGTCGAAAGAACCACTGTAAGTTAAGAGACGGGCAGGTTGCTGTCACCTGGAGTCATCATGACTCCTTGTGTTACTGTAAAAAGTTAAGCCAGGGCACGTGTGGCACACAGCTGCTAAACGTGGTCAGCGAGGCTGCACATGCACATGAGCCCTCTGCTCCTTTGGTAATGTGTCAGTCATCTGTGTTGACTCACAGATTAGTGTTGTTTCACACAATTCCCGGCAAGCAGATGACTGCATCATCTCATGCATTGGTTCATTTATCCATTCATTTTATTAATCGAATATTTATAAGATGCCTATTAAGTCCCTGCATGGAATTTACATATTGAAAAGAGTGGGAAGAGGATGGAGAAGTTGTACATTAAAGTAAACAAAGATGCTTTCAGAGAGAGATTAGTGCTGTTAGAAAATGAAAACAAAGTGAGGGAAAGGGGGCCTGAGTGGGCGGGTTGCAGGGAGTGGCTTTAGGTGCCCCAGTCAGAGAAGGGCCCCCACCAGGAGGTGAACCAGGAGCTTTGACCGGAATGACCCTGGGAGGAGCATTTCAGGGAAGGAGCTAGTTTGGTTGCCAGCCTCCTTTAAGCCATTCTTTCACCTGAGTGAATGCAGTAGCCCCCTAACTGGTCTTCCTGCTTTGCCTCTTCTCTGTCATTCTTGACTCCAGAGCTGCAGCAATCCTTTTATGAATGAGATCCTCTCCCTGAAACCCTCCAGTGCTTCCCATGCCATAATGAGTAAAAGCCAGAGTGCTCACAGTGGCAGCAAGGCCCTCCGCGGCCCAGTCCCTTTCTTTCCGCTCTGATTACATCTCCGACTTCTTTCCTGCTTACTCCTCTGCTCTAGCCACAGTGACCTCCTCCTGCTCACTTGAACACACCAAACATGCCCCAACCTCTCTGCCAGATACTGCTTGGCTTATCCCTTACTCCAGGTCTTGGCTCCTGTGTCAAGGGTTCCAAGGACCACACCCAGATTTGAAGATTTGCTAGGAGGACTCATAGGACTCAGCATATAATTATACTTGTGATTATGACTTATTATAGTGAAAGGATACCAAGCCAAATCAGCAACGGGAAACGGTTCATGGGGTGAATTCTGGAGGAAACCAGGAGCACCTTCCAGGAGCCCTCTCCTCGTGGAGTCCTGCGGGACACACCAAATTCCCCCAGCAGTGCATTCTGATCAGGGAAGCTCGTTAGGAGCTCAGTGCTCAGAGTTTGTACTGGAAGCTGGTCATGTAGGTAGCCTCTGCCTGGCACACCCCAGAATTCCAGACTCCCAGAAAGAAAGCAGGGCTTCAGCATAAAGTATCGTGTTTGCACAAGCAGCTTAGGCATGGAGCCATTCTCCATGAGGATGGCAGGAACCCTCCTGACATTCCCAGATGCCACTCAAGGGCCAGCCTTGCAAGCAGGCCTTTCTTAGGACTGTAGTCTCAGGCCTGCTATATTAACTCTTCTGCACAGTTCGGATAGCACCTTCTCAGCGAACCCTTCTCTCACCGTCCTATTTAAAATATCAACTCCTCCACCAGCACTCCCTGCCCTGTCCACCTGTTTGATTTTTCTCCATGGCACTCACCACTATATCTAAGATATTATATAATCTACATATTTAATTGTTTGTTGCCTACATCTCCTATTAAAATGTAAGCTTTATGAAGGCAGGGGGTTTTGCCTGCTTTGTTTACCACCAAACTCTTGATAACTGGACAGTGCTCAGCACATTGTAATCCTCAGTAATATATGATGAACGAATTGGAAATAGAAAAACATAACACATGTGCTTAGAACAAAGCCACCCATGCAGACAGAGGGAGGAGATGTGGTTGCTGAGCAGACAAGGTCAGAGCAGCCATGACCTTATAGGTGGCAGGAAGGGGTTTAGATAAACATATTTCTTAAGTCTCATGACTCCCTCATAAAGTTGTTCAAACCAGATCTTTACCATCTTGTCAACTTCAGCTCCCTTCCCACTCTCCTCAGGGCCACATATCTGTCCTTTTTCCTTTTCCATTTAGCTGACAGGGGAATTCAGAGTCTCATTCTGTGCAAAATAATAATTTATGCTCTTCTACACTAGAACTTATCACAGTTGTAATAATTTAATTATTTGTATTATTTATTTAATATCTGAGTTCTTCACTGGGCTGCAAATTCCTGGCTTATTAACACTGTATCCTCAGCACCTACCCAGAACTCAACAAATATTTGAATGAATGACTTGCTCTTCTTCAGAATGCAAATGTCCCTGGACTAGGCTCGACTTCTTAGGGAAGGAAGAGCTTTCCCAGGTTTCCCAGCTTCAGACTCTCAGCCTGAGACCTGAATCAATACCTCCCTAGCTTCCCTCCAGCACTGGAGCGCACGGTGCCAGGCAAATATCAGCCTGGTATCTGATGTTTGGCTGCACATATACACTTTGCAGGAGCCCTTGGAAAAAGCCCAGCTGCTTGCAGTAATTGGGGACCAACTCATCCAAAGCCACCACTATGCAGCGGACTCCATCAGATCCAAGTGTGCGGAGCTCAGGCACCTCTGTGATGACTTCACCAATGAAAACAGGAAAAGATATGATGTTTTAGGAAAATCTTTGGAGTTGCACAAACAGCTAGACAAGGTAAGATGTAAAATTTTCTGTAAAGCAGTCCTAATCATACTTCTCCTCCCTGCTCCACTTGATTGCTGAGAGAATAAGGAACTTACTGTGAAACAATGCTCAAGAAGTATTAAAAACTATGCAGATTGTAGGTCATAGAGGTATCGAAGGTCAGAAGTGCCTTTGCCACCCCACCACATCCTACTAGAATAAACTAAAGTTCATTTTCCTCCGTGTGGACCCAGACTTAAAGTGGGTGTTTTGGCTGGCCCTGTGAAAAATTTCCTGATTCCCCTTTGGGCATACAGAGAACCAAGCACAATATCTGCAAAATGCTTCTCCTCATAGAAAAGTATCACATTGCAAATCCTTCTGGGGAAGCTTAAGTAATAATGACCATTGTACACTCCTACCCATTATTGGGCATCTACTATGTTCCTACCAGAAACATAATTATATCATCTGTTTAATCCTCAAGGCAAGCAATGTGGAAGATATTAATGGCCTCATTTTACAGAGGCAGAAACTGTTATTCAGTGTGGTTAAGTCAATAGATCACAACACTTAGTGTATGAAAATCACCTGGTGAGCTTGCTATATTGCGGATTCCCAGATGTACCACTTGGGAAACTCAGATTCAGTAGATCTGGGATGATGCCCAGGAATCGGTATTTTCATCAAGTGCCCGGGTAATTCTGGTGCAGGTGGTACAGGGACCCCTGGGATAAGTGATTGCCCAAGACTGCACAATGCACAAATAGGGCACTGCAGATTTGAAGTCAGGACTCTACAGAAGACCCCAGCTTAAAGTTTTCTGCAGATGGAGGCATGATGTTTCAAGAGAAAGTTTTCACAGTATGTATCAGTGCATGATTTCATATTACTTTGAAATTACTTCCGAAATTCCAAACCCCAGGCTCCTTAGACTAGACAGAACGCTGTGTGAAGAGGGCTCACAGGGCGGGGGCACAGTCCCTGGTGCCCTTTGGCAGTGATCTCTGGAGCAAGAGCCCATTCAATAGGGGCAGTGACTTCTGGAACCTTCCCTGTCAACTGTTCCCAGGCAGCAAGAGGCTTGTGGCCATGAGTCGGCTTGCTCCAGTCCCACAGCTCTTTCTCTCGAATGGCTGGGGGCACCCATTGCCTGAGGGCTTTTAATGTCAGTGAAATACAGCTGTTCCAGGAGCAAGTGGCTCAGAAGGACCTGGTGCACAGCCTGCTCTGTGTGCTGAATTCTCTGCAGGATCAACTACTGTTTTCCTCGCTCCATTTCTGGTCCAGTGATAATAAATAGTCTAATACGGAGGAGTGGAGTGTGTGTGTGTGTGTGTGTGTGTGTGTGTGTGTGTGTGTGTGTGTGTTTGTGTGTGTGTGTGTGTGTCTGGGAGGGCAAGTGGCTGCTGTGACTCTACAGAAGACCCCAGCTTAAAGTTTTCTGCAGATGGAGGCATGATGTTTCAAGAGAAAGTTTTCACAGTATGTATCAGTGCATGATTTCATATTACTTTGAAAATCCAAAAATAGAGGAAAGTGGAGGGAAAAAGTTACAGACACCCACACATCCATCCCACTCCCCTCCTCATCCCCACACAGTGGTAATCATTAATTTTTAAATATCTTTATTGTTTTTTTGTTATTCCAAAAGTAGCACACCCTCAGTGTAGATAATTTAAGGGAGCGGGGGAAGACAAATTTAAGTTGCCTGTACCTTTCCATGTAGCAGTAACTCCTTTGGAGTGCTCCCTTTGGATCTTTTTTCCCTGTATAGTTATTT